CGGCATCTCCCCGTGGGTTTTAAGCATAATAAAGAATGGCTATCGATTACAGTTTCGTCGCCGCCCGCCACGCTCGCGCGTGCGGCTCGAATCCACTGTCAGCCCGGCTGCTATGAACACGCTTCGCTTAGAAATAGCCAAGCTACTGCAGAAGGGCACTATAGAGAGAGTCCCGCCATCTATGACCGAGTCGGGGTTTTACGGCCGTTATTTTCTGGTTCCCAAGAAAGACGGCGGCCTCAGGCCGATCTTAGATCTCAGGGCTTTGAACAAAGCACTCATGAAGAGACCGTTCAAAATGCTCACAGTCAAGAAACTCCTCGCGCACGTCCGCCAGGGGGACTGGTTCATCTCTCTAGACCTGAAAGACGCCTATTTCAGATCCAGATAAACCCTCATCACAGGCCATTCCTACGTTTCGCCTTCAAAGGGTCAAGTTTACCAGTATGCCGTTCTCCCGTTCGGCCTATCCTTAGCACCCCGTACGTTCACGAAGTGCATGGATACAGCGCTCGCCCCCCTGCGAAGTCAGGGGCTGCGCATTCTGAATTATCTGGACGACTGGCTGATTCTAGCAGATTCCCAGACGGAGCTTCTGTCGCACCGCACAGTTCTCCTCAACCATCTGGAAGCGCTGGGACTCTCTGTCAACTGGACAAAGAGCTCTCTCCAGCCCAGTCAAACTATTTCGTTCCTTGGAATAGATTTGAACTCTGTCACTATGACGGCTCACTTATCCACACAGCGCGCGCGCCGTGTTCAGCGCCTAGCCGCCTCTTTTCAGATGGGTACCCATACATCCCTGAAATCTTTTCAGAGGATGCTGGGTTATATGGCTTCAGCCTCCGCTGTGCTACAGCTGGGTCTTCTGCACATGCGCCCCCTTCAACTCTGGTTAAAGAGCCGCGTATCCCACCGCGAGTGGACGACGGGCCGCCAGATGATCAAGATTACTCAGACATGTATCTCTGCACTGCAGCCATGGTCAGTAATCGAGTGGTTTCAGAGGGGCGTTACCATGGGGACTTTTTCTCGCCGGAAAGTCATCTCGACAGACGCATCCAACTCGAGTTTGGGTGCGGGTTGCGAGGGCTCACCGGCCGCCGGCCAGTGGTCGAGCCACGAGAGTTCCCTACACATAAACTGTCTGGAAATGATCACGGTCGAGAACGCGCTGCTGTTTTTCCTCCCGCGCGATACACGGTCACCACTCCTGATTCGCTCCGACACATGGCGTGTATCATACATCAACCGTCAGGGCGGCTATAACAAGAATCTCTTCATCTGACACGCCGCATCCTATTGTATCGTCCCAGAGTCACCTGCTCTCGCTCAGAGCGACGCACGTACCGGCCATCTGAACGACGGTCCAGACATGCTGTCCAGGAACCTGGTCTCCCAGGAGAATGGTCCCTGCACACTCAAAACAGTCCAACGCTGTGGCGCCTATTCGGCAGAGCGGAGATAGATCTTTTCGCGTCAGAAGAGAACGCTCACTGCCCAATATTCTTCTCAAAGAGCGAGGACGCACTAAGCCCAGATTGGCCCGCCGCCCGCTCTATGCTTTCCCCCGATTTCTCTGCTACCGCAGGTCATTCAGAGAATCAGGGACTCACGCCACTCGTGCTCCTCATAGCCCCGCGCTGGGAGAATCAGATTTGGTTCCCGGAGCTAACGCGGCTGTCACAGACAGCCCGTGGCCCATTCCAATCAGAGCAGATCTCCTCACTCAAGCCCGCGCTCGATCTGGCATCCCCATCCACAGCGCTGGGCGCTTCATGCATGGGTGACCAACGACTACGCGTCGAATTGCCAGAAGGGTTCTGAACACGATCAAACACGCCAGAGCGGATTCTACCAGAAAGCTCTATGCTGCAAATGGTCTGTGTCTCCAAATGGTGCACCGACAAAAATTTGGACCCACGGACGTGCGAGGTTTCGTCTTTGCTCGTGTCCTTTCAGGAGATGCTGGATAAGGGCAGGTCCCCATCCACTCTTAAGGTTTACGTGGCAGCCGTCGCGGCGTTCGTTGAACCCCGGCGCGCCCAGTCTCTGGGC